TTAAACTTTCTTTTCTATCTACTTCATTCGTGGTTGCGGTTTCATTTTGCGCCTAGGGACAGATCTCTAATTTTAGTGATCTGGACCCAAAGAACCAAGGATTTCACAATGCAACTCAACACTTTTCCATCTGTTAACAGATACTAGATACAGAGTTGGAGGAGAGTGGGCAATGGGAGGTGGGAGGGAGGGACTCAAGGGGAAAAAAGGCAAAACATTTAATGGACACAAAAACGGGAAATGATTTGTTTATGATAATGTATATGGTAAGGTCTTTGACTAGACTGATATGCAGTGTATTCATGCTAGGAAGATTCATTTTGTATGCTGTGGAGATGTATAGTGATTAAATGTAAAACAAAACAAATCAATAAACAAACAAAACCAAAAGCTTCCCAGTGAGGGCCAGCAGGTGGGGTGGAGTTTAAGGCATTGGATCCCACATGGCTGACTACACAGTTCGAGTCCCAGACTTGGTGGCTTGGAGATCGTGCCAGGCACGTGTGTGTGTGTGTGCCCAAAATCCTGAGAGGAGACTGGAGGAGAAGGGATTGTGTTGTGGTCCTCCTCCTTGGGGGGATGATTTCTCACTTTCTTTCTCTCTTTGTCGCTGTCTCTCTGTGTTTGTCTCTCCTACTGTCTGGTGAATGTATGTGTTCTATGGAAAAAACCTAACAAACAAAGAACTCCTCCCCCTAAACAACAGCAATAAAATAAAACAAAAAAAGCTCCTTTGTTATTTGATTGTATAACTGAAACTGGAAACCTCTAACTTGGGCTGTGACTTCTCTCTCTAAAAGACATTCACTAAAACAGGTAATTTATGATGGTAGAAATTTCTTCCTGGGACAATAGTGGAATGGAAGGTGGGGTGCGTATTGCTGAGACTAGAGGCTGCCTTTACCTTCCATTAAATCAGACATTGGCCCAGGCAGCAAAGCTGGGTGGGAAGTAGAAGGCTTGAGCTTCATGGGGAGAGGGAAGTGAGCACCCACACTGTCCTCCTGGGTCTTCATTACCATCATTTTCCCTGTCCATAGCCCATGAGCAGAGGAATTCTCAACACCTGTGATGCTTACCTGGCTCTTGGCACCCAGGAGCTCCTGGGAATAAGGAGGCAGTGGTGTTGACCCGCAGGTACCTAACATCACTGTAGCCTAGCTCTAAATGGGGAGAAAAAAATGGAACCTTCACTATGCCGACAACTCCATCAGTAAACAAAGACTGGCTCTGGAGTGAGGCCCATTAGAGAATACTAAGTGCTGTTCTTTTCTCCACAGTTTTTCTTTAAAGGTGGGATGTATGCAGCAATGCTTTCAGGTAGCTGTCTGTGAAAGAGGAAACCTAATACCTTAATGGCAGGGTGGGGCCTTTGGGAGTGATTAAGTGATTAGGGTAGGGTCCTTAAAATCAACTCTTTGGGTTTATGAGGAGAGGAAATGAGACCAGCACACACACACACACACACACACACACACACACACACACACACACACGGGTCCTGTGAACACACAGTGATGCCCTGCATGACCTTGGGACTCCAACAGGAAAACCCTCACCAAATATGTCCTCTTACACTTGGACCTCCAAACTATGAGCTGAATAAACTTTTATTCTTTTAGATTGCCCAGGCTCAGGTATTACCAATTCTGTTATTAGCAATGGAATGGACTAGAGCAGTAACCGAAATCTCAGAAGCAAACGGAGGCTCCAGAAGTCATTTCTAGAGGCACCTAGTACTTACCTGGAGGACAGAGGAGGTACCACAGGGCTGCTCTCCTGGGCTCTGCCCACTCAGATGTAGGCAGGTGTAGACATATGACACTGATGGACAGTGTCAACCTTGGTGAGGAGGCAGGGCTGGAACCCAGGCCTTGGGACCTGCCACAGCCTGTGTGGACATGACCAGTGAGGCTCACTAAGTGCAAATAACCCTGTGCTCCACTGGCTCTGCTGGCTCCTGTGGTGGAGTCCAAATTGCTCAAGCTGAAAGCTCAAAGCAAAACTCACCACCATGAGGCTGTGGGTATCTTTCCTGCTGGTCGCTCTGGCCCTTTGCTGCTACGAGGGTGCGTATCATCTGTCATCAGTCCAGCATAAGCTCTGGTAAAGGCCCTTTCTGGAATACTAGGAAATCTACTTGGGTGGGGTGTGGTCAGAAAAGGCCAAAATTCCACACCTTTTCCTGTGTTTGCGAAGTTGTTCCTTAAAAAGCTCTGGGCTTATTTAATCAATTTCCCTATATCTAGGGACTTTTATAAAGAATTATTACAGGCATATGTTAGGGGTTGTTCTGCTTGCAGTATCGCTCCTTGACACCTGTGTTTCAGCTACAGCAGGATGTAATGGGAGGCCTGGCTGTGAACCTGGGCTCTGCCTCTTATCAGCCCTTTACCTGGACAAAATGCTTAACTCTCCAAGCCTCCTCTGATCACTGGTGCTTGCAGCTAACACAGAGAGGGGCTCCGAGAGTGAATCGAGATAACTTATGTCAAGAATCTATCTCTAGATACCAGCAGATATCTAACAATTCTCAGACACTCTCCTCTCCAGAGCCTTTCAGGGCAAATCGAGCCCAAAGCTTCATGTAAATTCATTCTCATAAAATGCTACAGCTGGAAGGGTCTTTGGAAAGCTCTGAGTTCGAGAAGATCTAGTAGTCTCTGAATCTCTGAATGAGAATGTGCAAATGGGCTCTGAGAATAGGCAGCCCTCAGAGAGTAGCTCTGGGAGTACTGCAAGCTTTCTGGGATCCACCAGTAAGTTCAGCACAACTAGTATAATTGCTAGAGCAACAATTTCTTTTTTTTTTTTCTTTTTAAGAAGTTTTTACCTTAGGGTGCATGCGCTCATGAGAGAGAGAGAGAGAGAGAGAGAGAGAGAGTGAGAAATCACCCCCCAGAGGGGATGGTGATGTTGCAATCCCTTTCTTTCTTTCTTTCTTTCTTTCTTTCTTTCTTTCTTTCTTTCTTTCTTTCTTTCTTTTCTTTCTTTCTTTTTTAATAGACCACAGATTAGTTTATTTTTAACACCCATCATGCCATGAATTCATAGGGAATAGGTTCCAGTAGCTCAGGCTCCTTTCCATTGGTTCTCACAAAGTGTGCTTCTCTGGGTGGGGCAGGTTGGCGCTTCAGTTGAACCCAGGTACCTTTCTCTTTGGCTTCTTTCTTTTTCTGGTCATTTTCCTTCACAAGTTTTAGGAAGCTATCTCTGCTCTTGAATGTTTAATATGCTTAATACGCACATTCATTCTCTTGGCAAGAATCTTGCCCTTAACTTGTTTGTTCACAACAATGCCAACAGCATGCTGGGTAACATTGTAGACTCTTCCAGTTTTGCCATGGTAACATTTGTGGGGCATCCTTTTTGCCTTTGTGTTCATCATTTTGGTTAATTCCTGGAAGATGGCGGTTCCGGTCAAAAGGAAGACCAATCCCTTCTCTTTCATTCTCCTGCATCTTGGGCATGCATGCACACACCCGGAGTGATTTTCAAGTCACCGAGTCCAGTACTCGAATTGCAGTCCGCTATGTAGGAGTCCAGCAATGTAACTGCTACGCCATCTGCTGATCCCAGTTTCTTTCTTTCTTCTTTTTTTCCCTGAAGTTAATTGCAGCTGACCCTATCAGCAATATTTTGCATATGTTTTTGTTTCCTCTTACTTTCTGAACCTCCTCCCTTTTCTGTGTGTTGCCTCTGATCCTGCCCTCTCCAAATTCTTCTCATAGTTTGATTTTTGTCTCAGAAAGGTCATGGTGGAGCCTGGTAGGACACGTCCTGGGTGCCAGGTGGTTATAAAAGCCTTGGGGAAGTGGAGAACCCAGACTAAGAAAAGTGGTTACTCTGAGTCTCACCAGAGTCGCCAGTGGGGGCAGGACGAGCCACAGTTCCCTCCTCACGGCCTTTCTACGATTTCTGGATATCACTGCAGAATAAAGTTCTGATCCTTTTTGTGAATAAATTCAGATGTGTTGAAACTGATTAGACTTTAAAAATATGTTCTGTCCAATTACATGGTACAATCCTAATTCCTCCAATTTAGTACCAAAATGCCACCTTTCAATGTTTTAATAATTTTACTTATTTTTCTCCAGGTTTATTGTCCCTTCTCTGGTCTCTAGAAAGATTCTAATGCTACCATTCATGGGGACATTTGGATAACTAAATTTTCCTCTTCCCCAATATCCAAAACAAACAAAATGTTTTATTAACAGATCAGACTTATTCCAAATCTAAGGAAATGGATTTCAGCAAGCCTGGGGAATTTTGGAAAGGAGTGGAGTATACTTCAAGAAATAACCAAATCAGCCGTCAGGAAAGCTCCATCCATGCCTTGCTCTGCAGCTTGCTGTGTGATTTTGAGGAAATGCACCTTCAGGGATTATTCACTGTCATCGGCTCAGTCATGAAATGGAAGCACCAACTTTCTAGGGGTTTCCTCTACTTCTACCATTAGGGAGCCTTGGGGAAAGCTTTCTTATGTATGCTTTCTTATGTAACTTCTATTTCTTTTTTCTTTTTCTTTTTTGGTCCAGCCAATTCAGAGATCTGTTCATCTCTTGCCTCTGTATTTGCATCCTTCTTCATCCGGAGTGGACCTGACTTCAAGCAGGACCTGACTTCTCCCATTTAATGTACGCCAGCAAGCTGTTGAGGCATACTTGGAAGTGAAGAACTGCTCAGATGAGATGTCCTTAAAGAACAGACTAATAATGCAACAAATGACGGTAATTTCTTTCTCTTTATTGCATAGAGGGTCTTACTAGCTGTACAGTCCAGGGTGAGGTTAGGGGACTGCTCTATGGGTGGGGCACCTGTCTTGTGTGCACCCTTCTTGATAGGGTGACCTGAGCCACAGTCTGATGCTACCAAGACATCTGCTGAATTGAACTGAGCAGCTCATGGCATCGTAGGCACATTCGTCTTCTTGGGTCATCTTCCTGGCTGATCTTCCTGGCTGTCATGTCTCCCACGGAGTCCAAAGAGAGAAGATAGATAGGGTCTCACATGGGGATGTTGAAGGGCAAGCTCTTTTGCCTTGCTTCCTGAGAGCTTTGCTTATGGTAAGATCCAGTTACCCAGGGGACAAAAGCACTGTGGATTGTTGGGTGTGTTGAACAAGAAGATGGAGAAGACTGGAGCTGGCTTCTGTCAGATGTAGCCGTGGTGGCTGGGGGTCTCTGGCAGCCTCTGAAGAACCAGGGACCACTCCCAGCTTCTTCTGCCCCACTTCCCCTCCTTACTTACAACTCACTTCTTAGTGTGCTTAGTGGGTACAGACCTGTGCTGCTTTCTCTCGTGCAGTGCATGGAGACCTTGAATACCTGTATTATGTCTTTATGGGGAAACCAGATGATTAAAGGGGCCTCTCAGCTTGTCTCCCCATGGATTTAAGCATGAGGTTTAGCTGCAGATGCCCAAAGAAGTAGGAATCTAGAGCTAAGAAGGACTCAGGTTGAGAGCTTGAAGTCCCACCCTGAGGGTTTGGGCACCTCCTGAGATCTTAGTTTCCCAAAGTCCCCTCTCAGCCCTGTCCCAGTCTCCCTGTGTGCCTCATTGGACAGGAAAGCAGAGTCCAGTGTCCTGGGACATCAGTGAACATAACTCTGGACTGCCCCATCCTGTTCTTCACCCTCTCTCTTGCGTTAGAATCCTGACCCACACACTTGGGCCATCTCAGGGTTTACTTGCCTGACTTGGGAAAGGCTTCCCTAATGCGTATGGCATGTGGCAACACACCACATCAATGTACATGCTTCCCCCACCACTGCCTTCGCTCGACACACACACTGGGTTTCCGCTTCTGTCCTTCCAAAAACCTTTTGTTGTCAGAATTCCCATTGGCGTCTCGGTTGTGTTAATGTGTCATCTCCTGGAGCACCATGACTGGCCTCACCGTTTTTTTTTTTTTTTTTTTAATCTTTCTTTTTCTATTGCAGTGGAAAATATGCTTGAAATGTGACCTTGAGATAAAAAACTAGCTTAATTCTGTTCCACTGTCTTCATGATGCCCTGACCTTCACTGCAAAATGTAAAGTTTTCAAGTTCTTACTTTAATAAATTTCTTGTCTTGCATTTCTTTCCTTGTTTTTATTCAACAATCTCAGGCAACGGATGACAGTGGTTTTTGTCATGAAGAGGTCTTTTGATCTTGTCACGGCACCTTCCAGAGACCCCATATTTTGTGTCAATGGTGGCCTAAGGCTCAGGGATCATGAAAGAAAATGTTTGCTCAGGAATTATCCTTTATTATGTCACAGATTCCCCATTGAAGCAGACATGAGAGAAAAGGATGGTAAAGAGTGAAAACCAATGAAAATGTTCCTTAAGTTATTATTATTATTATTATTTTTACCACACTCTCAGCGAGCTCATCAGTGTCTATTCCACTTACCAAATTAAACTTGTTTCCCTGGCCTGCAGGAACTAGAATGCCGCTATGTTTCGTGCGGCCGTTAATCAGTTTGCTCTCCCTCCTGTCCCTCCTCGCATCTAAGAGTCCTCTGCTTTCCCTTCCGGCTGCCTCCAAAGTCTCAGCTGGTTGAGTGTCCTTCCTTCCACGCCCGCAGCCATCATCATTGTCTAGTCCATGTCTTTCCTGGCTCAGAACAATGTCTCTTACTTGGCCCCTGGGTCTTTGCCATAAGCTTCCTACAATGTGTCCTTTCAATTAGTGCCAATGTAAATCTATTAAATCAGAATGTGGCCCTGTTACTCTTTCCAATTACCTTCAAAGACTAGAGGACCTGTGTCCCTAAGTGTTTCAAGTAAGAGAGCTTATATTAATCCTGTAATCACACTCATGTGATAATAATTTTTAATATATTAAGAAAAAATTATGTTTATTCATAATGGCAAGTATGTGCATGAGAGAGAGAGAGAGAGAGAATGAGAGAGAGATCAAATGAGAGAGAAGCAGCCTTTACAGGGTCTTGTCATGCTGTGATTCCCCCTCCCACAGGCCTCTAGTATGTCAAGGTTTTGGGCACACTCACAGGCTCAGTGTGTATTCAGGCTGACTCAGAGATCCAAGTCTGGGGTTAGCTACTGCAAGGTCTCACTGATCCAGGGAGCAGTACACAATGACTCCAAGTGAGTACTGGGAGGTCTAACTCCCCAGAGAGAACAAAAAGTCACAAAATGTTTCATGTATGCTTATCTCACTGTGCCTAACTTCCCTGGATATCAGTCATGCATAGTCTCCCAGAATAGCTTGATTACCCTATGAAAGGAGCCCTCTCTTTCCTAGTGGATGGGCTACAGATTTTCAGGTCTCAGAGCACCCCCACCCCCACCCCCCAGATGCTATTTTTCTCAATATACTTTCTTTTTTCTCCTGGGATGATTGTCTCCTGAGTCTACTCTGAACTGTGACACATTCCATGTCATGACCATGTATTGGAACTTCACACTCACCTCCATAAATATGTATGATTATTATTTGTCAGTGGAAATAAAACAAAATTTTAAAAAAGATACATAAGGCTAAATAAATACTAGCAAGAACAATGCTTTGCTGAGCTGTGCATTCTCCAAAAAAAGGGCTTTGTGGAGGAGTTGATGGCTGGCTGAGTAGGGCCCTAAGGACCCAAATGAAGAGGATGACAAAAAGGTGGAAGTAAGGCTCTCCTGGTGGGCAAAGCAGCCTGGGAAGCACATGGATGTGAGACTGAATCTAGTCCATTGGAGGACAAAGGTGCCTGTACTTCTGTTGTCACCTTGCCATGCTTGGGGCTGTATTTACCTTTGGCCCTAGAGAGGGTCATGGCTGAATATTTCTTTTTTTGTAGACATCTGTCTTGAGCACTGTAGGCTGTTTAATTCCTTTTCTCTACTACTTGGTGTCAATAGCACACCCACCCACATCCAGTTGGGATGACCAAAAAATATCTGACTTTGACAGATGTTCCCAGGGTCTGAGGGCAGGGCAAAATGACCCCTCCCAAGAATCATTGCTCCGGCTGTGGGGATAACTCATACACGGTCCCCCATATATCACTTATAACACCCTATGGACTAGAGGCTCACAACCGTGGGCTGATGACACTTAAACCATCAAAGCGAAGGGAAAATTTGCATCTTGCTGGCAAAGACATTGGTGTAAATATACAGTGAGCTAACTCAAACTGTCCCATGTGTACAGACAATAATATTTTTAACAACATATTTTGGGTAAATGGAGAGTTGTGTAATTTCAGGGTTTTGGTGAAGGAGCCAAAGAGAATTTGCCAGGGGCTGACATCTCACTTTGTCTCTACTTCCAAATCTGGGTCCTGATCCTATCTCATCAGGTTGATCCTGGTTGGATTCTATCATGGTAACAGTTGTTTCTGGGTGAAAGAAACATCGAAGTGACCCAGGCCCTGGCTTGCAGGTCTCCAGTTACCTCCTAACTTCATCTACCTTGTTCCCTGAATCCAAGTTCTTAATCCAAGAATGTCCAAATGATGGTGTTATTGCACAGGATATGAGGTTAATGTCTGATCCCTACTTTTACTAAAACTTTAATTTTAAATTAACTAATGTTTATAAGTAGAGCTAGTAATAAAACACATAATATAATAAATACACTCTGTGGAAGAAAAAAATCTGCTATTGAAAATCAATTTCGCTTTCTTTCCACAATGGCTCCCGCAAAGAAGGGTGGCGAGAAGAAGGGCCATTCTGCCATCACCGAGGTGGTGACCCAGGAATACACCATCAACATTCACAAGCACATCCATGGTGCGAGCTTCAAGAAACATGCCCCTCGGGCACTAAAAGAAATCAGGAAATTTGCCATGAAGGAGATGGGGGCTCCAGATGTGTGCATTGATACCAGGCTCAACAAAGCTGTCTGGGCCAAAGGAATAAGGAACGTCCCATATTGAATCCGTGTGTGGTTGTCCAGAAAATGAAACGAGGATGAAGATTCACCCAACAAGCTCTACACTCTGGTGACCTATGTACCTGTTACCACTTCCAAAAATCTACAGTCAATGTGGATGAGAACTAACTGCTGATTTCAAATAAAATAATAAAGTTATAAAACCAAAAAAAAAAGAAAATCAATTTCACCCTAATTAATTAAACACCTACTATGTGACTGTTAAATAAAGGAATAAGGACTACAGTCCTTTTTTTTCTTTTTTTGAGATGTTTTTGCTATAGGGCCTGTGCACTCACCAGAAAAAGAGAGACAGAGAGACAGAAAGTGAGAAATCATCCCCCAGGGGGGATGGCCATGCTGCAATCTCTTCTCCTCCATTCTCTTCTTAGGATCTTGGGCATGCACACACTCGTACCTGGCGTGAGTTTAAGCCACTGGGTCCGGGACGCAAACCGCAGTTGACTACATAGGAGTTCAGTGACATAGCCATTACACTAACTGCTGGTCCCAAGGACTACAGTCCTTAAGGAGCATATATAGAGTGGAATAGGTCCGGTATTCAGTGTATTGGAAATGTCAGGAGAGAGTTACTCTAATTGTATAATCTCTCCATTGAAAAAATTAGTAGATAACAATGATTATGACTTTAACAATGCACTTTAAATACATTTGTATTTATAATCACATAAAGAAGTATGTTCATTTAAAAATAGTTTCTAAATATGTATACTGCATTACATACATAGTCTACATGCTAAGTTTGGTAGCAGAAAGAGTCCCAGTTCTTGTAACACCTCGGAACTCAGATGGAAACCACTGCTAAGATATTCATGTCCCCACTCTTCATGGTACAAAATTATTCCCAGACTGTTCTTGTGTGGCACTGTAACCTCATGTCTTTGTTTATCCAGGTACTCTGCTTAGCGAGAACAGTCTCCTCCTCTTTTAAGAGATTTTTGCTATAGAGTGTATGCACTTGCCAGAGAGCCAGAGAGAGCCAGAGAGACAGGAAGTGAGAAATCACTCCCCGCTCACCTCAGGGGTATGGCCACACCACAATCCCTTCTCCTTCATTCTCTTTTTGGGATTTTGGGCATGCATGCACATACACCCAGCATGAGTTTTAAGCTGCTGGGTCTGGGATTTGAACTGCGGTCCACTATGTGGGAGTCAGAGATGTAACCATTACACTAGCTGGTGGTCTTCAGAGTGGTCTTTTGTATTCATATGTGCATCTTGCTATGACACAACTTTGCACCAGGGCTTGTGGTGTGTCTTTTGCCTCTCCATTCTTCTCTGCCTACCACAGCTAATGACTTCATCTGTAGAATCCATTTCATATGTCTTCTCCTCTGTGAGGCTTCTCTGACATCCACTCCCTAAAACAAATCCTTTCCATACCCTCCATACCCCTATGTATTTGTCTGTTCTCATCTGGGAAATAAAATAATAGAATAAAGCACTCAAGATCATCATTATTTTTAGTTTGCCAGAGGACGCATGTGGTCACTTGAGAGAGGTAGAGTGATAGAAAGGGAAAGTGAAAAGCAGCTCCAGGGAATGGTCACATCAAATCCCTTCTCCATTTCTCCTGCCAGGATTTTGGGCATATATGCACATATGCCTGGCATGTTTTTCAACCCACTGAGTTCAGAACTCAAATTGGAGTCATGCACATCGGATCCAGGTCTTTAACCATCATACCACCAGCTGGCCATATTTTTAACACTGTTAAGGGATTTCTATATGATAGACATTATGATAAAATGTCTACATGCGCTGTCTTACATATTACTTCCTAGTACCCAGGAGCATAGTTACTGTTAACACCACTTAAAG